GACTCTCACTCTTCGTATTGTTGCCGGTTTCTTTCTGCATTACTAAGTCTTGTCCGTCAACACTCCTTTGTATTCGTTTCTTTGTCCTTCCACAACATTYCTTAACGTCYAAAGCAAGTTGTTCRAGACCCTTTTCTTTGGTTGCCGCCATCTTGTCTACATTGACTGCTTGAAAGGTCATCTTGTTYTCCAACTGTTGTATTTTYGTGTTTTGTTGCTTCAGAACCATCTCGATACGTACAAACTCACCACAACACAGCAAGAGAGCGAGTAACGAAGTAATGGCGACTATCGTTGAAGCGCTTAACTTATTCGACTTGGAAACTTTTCCATGCATTTTTAGTTCGTTAATAAGATACACTCGGTCATGACGTTCATTTGAAGATCATTCCTTTGAGATATCTAATGAACGAGGACGCGACTGAGAACATACCACTTTCATAGACCAGGATCGTTTTGATAAAATTAAGTACAAAGGTCATCTTTATCAATTTAAGTAGATCTTGAATTTCAAGACCCGATAAAGCATTTGGCAAGAAATCAAGAATCGGATCTAAAAAAACACCGGGAAACATGAGAGGTCGACTTGGGGCAAGTCTAGTTTGAGCTTTTTAGGTTATTCTGGGGGGGCCACCCTTTACGGAACGTGACTGTTTGCACGTTGACGGTTAAAATTTTATCACTGATATTGTTCAGTCTTGTACCYAGAGCYCACGTTTCTCTTGGTCAGCTCGGAGAAACGTTTCTCGGTGCTGACCAGGAGGAACGTGGGCACTTGGTCAAGACAGGTATCCCAATTTAACATTTTATTATTAATAATTTATTCTTATTCTTTATCTGCCTCGCTTTATATTCTTAACCCATCCGTTCCTAGCAATGGCGACTGATCATAGTTTTGGTAGTAAAGCCGCAAGCTAGTCATATCCCAAAAAAAACTATTACCTTTGGAATAGTTTTCGGAACGTTTCCCTCGTCAAATTCCCACAGTTCCTGGAAACCTTGTCAATTCCAATGAAAGTCTAGAAAAGTAAAGATAAAATAATACTGCAATAGCTCGAGAAAAAAAGAACAATACTCTACAATACAATAAATTTCATTTAAAGAGGGTGACGTATTAACTTAATTAGATATTTAATTTACGGCCGTGAACGTTGATCACTCTCGACCCCAGACCCCTGTTGTTCTGGAATCGAGAACGAAGTGTTGATATAAACCGCTACACCACAGGAAGCCCACGGATGTGCGCTTGAACACAAGAATCCCACAGATGATGTTAAACTACAATACAGGAAGCCCAAAGATGACCGATGCTACTTGCTATAACATAGGCAGATAACCTATTGCTACTAACAAGTCAGAAAGCCCAGATATGATCTTGATTAAACCACAGGAAGCCCACAGACTGCAACACAGGAATCCCATATTTGAAGAACAATAACGGTACTAACCTTGTTGATCACTTGGAATTTGTCTGTSAGCAGATGTCCCATCTCGGCCATCAACTACAAGAATCATGCATAGTAAGACTAGGTTATTTTAAGATATATTTAGATAAAATTGGTCATCATCACCGACCATCATCATCATCACTATCATCATCACCGACCATCATCTTCATCACCATTGTAATTATTACTATTTGCCATTGAGCTACTCGTGATTGTCACATGAAAGTCACGTGATAGATTAACATTGCATTCACCTGGTCAACATCACGTGATGYTGGTGTAGATTTCTTTATATCAGCAAAAGAAGTACTCCTGTCCACCCCTACGTGGGACCTCACACTCTGTACTGACAGGGGTCGGGTAGGGCAGGTTGATGGTCGCATGGAATTAGTTGTTGGTGGGCGATCTTGGACGTCTGCATGCATGTTATGGTCCCTAGGTATTGAGACACAAAGAAACTGTGAGAGTATTYTCGCAACCGTTGGAATCAAAATGACCTAATTAACAATGCAGTTAAAACACACATTTTACAAGGGAAGATAGAACTAAGGMCAGAATATATGGTGGACATTTTGTTCGCAACGCTGCACGYATTGAAATCGCACCGTATATATCCACCTCTGCGTAGCAGTTGCGCACGGAGAGCATCACACGATAGGGAGTTTCTGCGCTGCTTGGCTGTCAAAGGAGGGAGAACAGAGGGGAAGTACCCACTCGAAAACCCCCGTCGCCTGGGAATATTTATATAAATTTTACTGAAAGAAGCCTAAACACTAGAAATCTGGTAATATGCTAAACGTATGTGTAAACATATGTATATAACTAATCCTATATAAAGATGGTTTTACATCATTCCCATGAAGGTCAAATGACAAAGATATGGCGRCCATGTTGGAAGTATCAWYAAAGAAGGTGAATGAGCAATCTTTTGTTAATTACYKCCAATATGGCGGCGATGACGTAACGTGCAAACGAAGMATACCTTAAAGCGCTGAACTCCTCTAAGAATCGCCCGTACAATACCAGTCCATCAGCAGTTTCTGCCCCTATTTTCTTAAGCATTTCGCTTATCTGATCTTTCGTCAACTTGACGCCAAAMCGCGCATCAAGCATCTCCTGGAACTGGTATTTCTTGATTAGTCCTAGGTTTTCACGGTCAAGTTGCCTGAGTWAAAAAATGGGAACGAGTTTAGAGAATCTTTCACGGATGGGGGGCTTGAAAAATGGGAGTGAGGATTGGGATATTACCATTCTTCTAAGTTAGCAATGCAAATAAAGGACTTGTAAAAAAGTGTCAGGTTACCAGTCACAAGTGGTCTCAATTTTGTTGTTGTTGTTGCTGTACGTAGTGCCTGCCTACTTTATGTTTCTATTGCGTGACCAAACAAATAGCTTACTTGAATGCTGCGAGTAACGCCAGGAAGTCTGCATGAAGAATGTCAAGTAGTTTTGCTTCAGCATCAACAGCTGTCGTGTTACCAATGTCGGATTCTCTACTTCTGTTGAATCTAAAAAAMGAAAGTCAACAATAAGCTATGGTTAGCTTGTCTATCATCCCTTTTCCCAAAGGCCGTCTCCCAGTTTGATATAACCTAATGCATTCTGGTCTAGCTTGGGTACATACAACACCATATGACTAAAAAATACTTTTACCCAAGCTAGACCAAAATGCACCATGTTTGCTATATTAGAAAAGGAATATATAGACTCTTTTGTAACGTGTTTAGAGGAAGGGAGGGAGGGATTAATTTTGGGGTTTTGGGGTACCTGTGTTTTGAATCTTCGAGTATTTTCTGTAGGAGCCCTTTTTCAGTTCGGTCCTCAAAAGCATCCAATATCTTACGATAAGGAACCATCTTCTGCTCACGAACGCCAAACCTTCAATAAATATGTATAAAAACAATTGGTATAATATTAATATTATTAATTAATAGTTCTATAGTGAACGTTGGAGATGTATTGTTTGACGATATGGTTTTCGATAGATGTGTTAATCATCACAATGAATGAGCGATCTAAGCGAACGCTGGAAAGAAAGACCTGAAAAAATGATTTCAGGCTTCAACGGGAATCGAACCCATGACCTCAGCGATGCCGGTGCGATGCTCTTACCAACTGATATGATTTTCACCGCTCTGAGCCAATCAAGAAAGAAAATGATATTTGAATAATTKAGCAGTTATAGTTTATTCCACTGAATTCCAACTGGAAAACTGCAGAACCCTGATAAAAACGCTAAGTCAGAAGAGAACCAACAACGAACTCTACTCACGTACGACACCAAGTTCGGGAATCGAACCCGGGTCGTATTGGYGAGAGGCGAGTGCTGGAAAACCTATAGACCCGGTCAATCACAGTACAAWCTGAACGTTCCCGACACGCTTTCTTACCTGGACAGAAAGAGTTCTACTTCTACAGGCCCAAGATTTAAACGACACATTGACAAAACGCGACGAAATTCTCCTCTGCTGACCTAAAACATTAAACACAACATGTGTAACGATTTAACAACTGCACTGACACGTCGATTTTCCCGCCACTAATCCAAGCATGTGCAGTAAATTTTCCTATCAAGTATCACATTAGGTTTCGGCGCGCGCACGCAATTTTCCCGCCAAAATCTTGAACACGCGAATGAAGCATTTTAAATGGCTCGTATACGGATTATTGAAAAAATGAAAGGCAACAGTTTTGCGCGTTTAAAAGCTAAGGATACAATACTTCAGATATTTCATTAGCTTATTCACCATTCCAGTGCTCTGCGTGTCGTATTTGGCAAASAAGTCAAGGATGCTGTTGTAGCCATGCCTGAACTAAAATGAGCGAAAYAAACAATTACACGTTAAAAATCTAATTCCTTATGGATATCAGATGTATTAACTTGATCCCAACCTCGTACCCAGATCTTGTTGAACGAAGTAGAGGACCTCGGTCGATTTTCCTACCTCGACAAAAACCAATAATATAATTTGACAGTTGTATTCTTAAATTAAYATTCAATGCAACTCTCCGTATCTCGACGTAAAATAGAAATCATWTATTTCATACAAACCTTGACTTCTAAAACCTTCAATAGATCTCCATTCACTACGTTTGTCTCTGACAAGCCTGACTCAGCCGTTCTTGTTTTGTGGTCATCCTCTTTAACTTCATCAGTCTTTGATAGTTGTTTTTCGTGTTGTTCTTCGTGTTGTTGTATGGCTTGGGGTTCCTGTGGTTCTTCGGGYTCTTCCTCGATCAYTACGGGCACGTGATAGTCTGTGGTTTTCTTTTCTGTGAATAAAATATGATATATGACCAAGAGAATTATTATCAATTGAACCGATGGACGGACGGACGGACGGACGGACGGACGGACGGTCGGATGAATGGATAGATGGAGAGAGGGAAGGATGAATGGATGGATGGAGAGAGGGAAGGATGATGAGTCGATAGATGATTAAAATCATAGCAAAGACAAATAATAGTAGCAAACTTTCTAAAAGGAATTTATTTATTATTTGTACCGGTTGAATGGTGTCGAGTATGGAGTCCAAGAGACTTGAAGAAGAGATGCGTAGCAACTGCTCCCATTCCACTGCGATCCACTCTAGGGAAATTAAACAAACAGACAATGCATCTTCCAATCTGCTACTTGTACTCGACATTATTATCAATACAATATAACAGATAGCATCAGGTAAACAAAAAGGGGTTTCATCTACAGTAGGCACAAAACCGTTAATACAAAAATTCCTACGATGATACTATTGTCCGTATATATTGATGGTTTTCAACCATTCCCAAGATAATAAATGAATAACAAAAGACACGGCGGCCATGTTGGAGGATATAACGAAAGAATTCATTGACAATTCTTTTGTTAAGTTCCTCCAACATGGCCGCCGTGAAAACCATCAATAGGATGCTCTTTCAGTTCTGTAAGAAGCAATTCCCATCCTTATCAGTACATACCTGTCCCAGACCTTGTCGTACTCATCATCATACATGTGTATATTCATGGAATAAAGTGCGTATCGTAGCTGTGGTTTCAAGACCATGCTTTCTTCCTCAAAACACGATGAGGGAAGCAACTTTGCAAATTCTATAAAGCTGAAAGTGGAATCAATGATTAGAAATGGACGGATGAATGGATGGATGGATGGATGGGTGGATGGGTGGATGGATGGGTGGATGGATGGATGAACGGATGGACGGCTGGATGGATGGATGGATGGATGGATGGGTGGGTGGATGGATGGATGGATGGATAGAGTCTTGTTAATTATTCCACCTACTTTTCGTTTGCTTTTCGTTTCATCATGGGAAAGACTTGTAGCGCAGTGTAATATTTAGGAGCAATCTTTTTTCCTTGTTTTGCTGTCATTTCACCTTCCTTCTTTGACTGCGCTTCTCTTTGGGTGATTCTTAGTTTGTTTGCTGGAAGACTATTTACTTGCATGCTGGTAGGCCGTACTATAGGGTCAACCCATTCTTTTTGCACAATCTAGGGTAGATCGTAGAATAGGTAGTGTAAGTATAAAAATATGACACACTGAAAAACGTTAAACATAGGCAATGTTACCTATGGCAACAGCGCGAGCACTATACGCCGTTCTTTTCAACGTTTGTGCCGTTTTCATTAGTGCTTGTGAAAAAAATGAGTTTTAGTTCATGAAAAATATCAGTTACATTCATAATGCTTTTATTGCGCAAGGGGTGACGGGTATTACCAGTAACATTTGCTCCGACTAAACCAATCA